GTGGCAGCCCGCCACGCTGCTCAGGCCCTGAGGGCACTCTTCCCACTCAGGCGGCCGACCGACAGAGTGGGTCAAAGTGGCAGCCCTCCGAGGTACTGAGCATTGCCGTGCCTGTCGCCCATCCAGCGGCCCCTAGACAGAGTGGGTAAAAGTGGCAGCCCGCCGCGCTGCTCAGCCCTGAGGGCCCTCTCCCCACTCAGGCAGACGACAGCCAGAGTGGGTCAAAGTGGCACCCCGCCGCGCAGCTCAGCCCTGGGGGCCCAACCCTGACTCAGGCGGCAGACCACCAGAAGGGTGAAAGTGGCAGCCCCCCGCGCTGCCCAGCCCGGGCGGGCCCCCCTCTACTCAGGCGGCCGACAGCCAGACTGGGTCAATGTGGCAGCCCGCCGTGCTGCTCACCACTGGCGGCCACCGCCAACTCAGGTGGCCCACCCCAGAGTGGGTCAAACTGGCAGCCCGCCGCCCTGCTCAGCACTGGGGGCCCCACTCCCACTCAGGCGGCCGACCGCCCGAGTGGGTCAAAGTCGCAGCCCGCAGCGCTGCTCAGCCCTGGGGGCGCCCCACGTAGTCTGGCGGCCGATCGCCACAGTGGCTCATAGTGGCAGCCCACCGCGCTGCTCAGCCCTGGGGGTCCCCCCCCCCACTCTGGCTGCCGACCACCAGAGTGGGTCAAAGTGGCAGCCCGCCGCGCAGCTCAGCCCTGGCTGCCCCACCCTGACTGAGGTGGCAGACCGCCATAGTGGGTCAAAGTGGCAGCCCGCCGCGCAGCTCAGTCCGGGCGGGCCCCCCTCTACTCAGGCGGCCGACAGAAAGACTGGGTCAAATTGGCAGCCCGCCGCACTGCTCAGCCCTGGAGGGCCCCCCCCCCACTCTGGCTGCCGACCTCCAGAGTGGGTCAAAGTGGCAGCCCGCCGCGCAGCTCAGTCCGGGCGGGCCCCCCTCTACTCAGGCGGCCGACAGAAAGACTGGGTCAAATTGGCAGCCCGCCTCGCAGCTCAGCCCTGGCTGCCCCACCCTGACTGAGGTGGCAGACCCCCATAGTGGGTCAAAGGGGCAGCCCGCCACGCTGCTCAGCCCTGGGGGACCTCTCCACACTCAGGCGGCCGACCGCCAGAGTGGGTCAAAGTAGCTGCCCGCCGCGCTGCTCAGCCCTCGGGCCCTCATCACCCACTCAGGCGGCCTACTGACAGATTGGGTCAAAGTGGCAGCGTGCCGCGCTGCTCAGCCCTGGGGGCCCCACCCCCACTCAGGCGGCCGACCGCCAGGATTGGTCAAAGTGGGAGCCCGCCGCGCTGCTCCGCCCTGGGGGCCCTTCCCCACCACTCAGGCGGCCTACGGCCAGAGTGGGTCAAAGTGGGACGCCGTCGCGCTGCTCAGCCTTGGGGGCCCTCCCCACCCACTCAGGTGGCCTACTGCCAGAGTGGGAAACAGTGGCAGCCCACCGCTGCTCATCCCTGGGGGACCCATGCCCACTCAGGCAGCCTACCGACACAGTTGGTCAAAGTGGCAGCCCGCCGAGCTACTCAGCCATGGCAGCCCAGGGCTGAGCAGCGCGGGGGCTGCCACTATGAGCCACTGTGGCGATCGGCCGCCAGACTAGTGGGGCGCCCCAGGGCTGAGCAGCGCTGCGGGCTGCGACTTTGACCCACTCGGCGGTCGGCCGCCTGAGTGGGAGTGGGCCCCCAGTGCTGAGCAGGGCGGCAGGCTGCCAGTTTGACCCACTCTGGCGGTGGGCCACTGAGTTGGCGGTGGCCGCCAGGGTGAGCAGCCGGCGGGCTGCCACTTTGACCCAGTCTGGCTGTCGGCCGCCTGAGTAGAGGGGGGCCCGCCCGGGCTGGGCAGCGCAGCGGGCTGCCACTTTCACCATTCTGGTGGTCTGCCGCCTGAGTTAGGGTTGGGCCCCAGGGCTGAGCTGCGCGGCGGTTGCCACTTTGACCCACTCTGGCGGTCGCCGAATGGGTGGGAAAGGGCCCTCGGGGCTGAGCAGTGTGGCAGCCTGCCACTTTGACCCACTCTGGCGCTTGGCCGCCTGAGTGGGGAAAGGGCCCCCAGGGCTGAGCAGCGTGGCGGGCTGCCACTTTGACCCACTCTGGCGGTCGGCGAATGGGTGGGGAAAGGGCCCCAGGGCTGAGCAGCGTGGCGGGCTGCCACTTTGACCCACTCCGGCGGTCGGCCGCCTGAGTGGGGAGGAGGGCCCCCAGGGCTGAGCAGCGTGGGGGCTGCCCCTTTGACCCACTCTGTCGGTCGGCCGCTGAGTGTGTGGGGCGCCCCAGGGCTGAGCAGCGCTGCGGGCTGCCCTTTGACCCACTATGGCGGTCGGCCGCCTGAGTGGTGGAGGGCCCAGGGCTGAGCAGCAGGGCGGGCTGCCACTTTGACCACTCTTGGCGGTCGCCAGCCTGAGTGGTTGGGGAGGGCCCCGGCCTGAGCAGCGCGGCGGGCTCCCACTTTGACCCACTCTGGCGGTCGGCGCCTGAGTGGGGGAGGGGCCGCCATGGCTGAGTAGCTCGGCGGGCTGCCACTTTGACCAACTGTGTCGTAGGCTGCCTGAGTGGGCATGGGTCCCAGGGATGAGCAGCGGTGGGCTGCCACTGTTTCCCACTCTGGCATAGGCCACCTGATGGGTGGGGAGGCCCAAGGCTGAGCAGCGCGACGGCGTCCCACTTTGACCCACTCTGGCCGTAGGCGCCTGAGTGGTGGGGAAGGGCCCCCAGGGCGGGCAGCGCGGCGGGCTCCCACTTTGACCAACCCTGGCGGTCGGCCGCCTGAGTGGGGGTGGGGCCCCCAGGGCTTGAGCAGCGCGGCACGCTGCCACTTTGACCCAATCTGTCAGTAGGTCCGCTGACTGGGTGATGAGGGCCCGAGGGCTGAGCAGCGCGGCGGGCAGCTACTTTGACCCACTCTGGCGGTCGGCCGCCTGAGTGTGGAGAGGTCCCCCAGGGCTGAGCAGCGTGGCGGGCTGCCCCTTTGACCCACTATGGCGGTCTGCCACCTCAGTCAGGGTGGGGCAGCCAGGGCTGAGCTGCGGCGGCGGCTGCCACTTTGACCCACTCTGGTGGTCGGCAGCCAGAGTGGGGGGGGGGGCCTCCAGGGCTGAGCAGTGCGGCGGGCTGCCAATTTGACCCAGTCTTCTGTCGGCCGGCCTGAGTAGAGGGGGCCCGCCCGGACTGAGCTGCGCGGCGGGCTCCCACTTTGACCCACTATGGCGGTCTGCCACCTCAGTCAGGGTAGGGCAGCCAGGCGCTGAGCTGCGCGGCGGGCTCGCCACTTTGACCCACTATGGCGGTTTGCCACCTCAGTCAGGGTGGGGCAGCCAGGGCTGAGCTGCGCGGCGGGCTGCCACTTTGACCCACTCTGGTGGTCGGCAGCCAGAGTGGGGGGGGGGGCCTCCAGGGCTGAGCAGTGCGGCGGGCTGCCAATTTGACCCAGTCTTTCTGTCGGCCGCCTGAGTAGAGGGGGCCCGCCCGGACTGAGCTGCGCGGCGGGCTGCCACTTTGACCCACTATGGCGGTCTGCCACCTCAGTCAGGGTGGGGCACCAGGCTTAGCTGCGCGGCGGCCTGCCACTTTGACCCACTCTGGCGGTCGGCCGCCTGAGTGGGCGTGGGACCCCAGGGCTGAGCAGCGCGGTGGGCTGCCACTATGAGCCACTGTGGCGATCGGCCGCCAGACTACGTGGGGCGCCCCCAGGGCTGAGCAGCGCTGCGGGCTGCGACTTTGACCCACTCGGGCGGTCGCCGCCTGAGTGGGAGTGGGCCCCCAGTGCTGAGCAGGGCCGCAGGTGCCAGTTTGACCCACTCTGGCGGTGGCCACCTGAGTTGGCGGTGGCCGCCAGGGTTGAGCAGCACGGCGGGCTGCCACTTTGACCCAGTTGGCTGTCGGCCGCCTGAGTAGAGGGGGCCCGCCCGGGCTGGGCAGCGCAGCGGGCTGCCACTTTCACCATTCTGGTGGTCTGCCGCCTGAGTCAGGGTTGGGCCCCCAGGGCTGAGCTGCGCGGCGGGTTGCCACTTTGACCCACTCTGGCTGTCGTCTGCCTGAGTGGGTGAGGGACCCAGGGCTGAGCAGCGCGGCGGGCTGCCACTTTTTCCCACTCTGTCTAGGGCCGCTTGAGTGGGGGTCGGGCCCGCAATGCTCAGCACCTCGGAGGGCTGCCACTTTGACCACTCTGGCGGTCGCCGCCTGAGTGGGGAAAGGGCCCCCAGGGTGAGCAGCGTGGCGGGCTGCCACTTTGACCCACTCCGGCGGTCGGCCGCCTGAGTGGGAGGAGGGCCCCAGGGCTGAAGCAGCGTGGCGGGCTGCCCCTTTGACCCACTCTGTCGGTCGGCCGCCTGAGTGTGTGGGCGCCCCAGGGCTGAGCAGCGCTGCGGGCTGCCCCTTTGACCCACTATGGCGGTCGGCGCCTGAGTGGTGGAGGGGCCCAGGGCTGAGCAGCAGGGCGGGCTGCCACTTTGACCCACTCTGGGGGTCGGCCGCCTGAGTGGGGAGACGGACCCCAGGCTATGATGCGCGGCAAGCTGCCACTTTGACCCACTGTAGCGGGCGGCCGCCTGAGTGGGCTTGGTCCCCCAGGGCTGAGCAGCTCGCGGGCTGCCACTTTGACCAACTCTGGCGGTGGGCCGCCAGTGTTCGGGGCGACGGCCCCAGAGCTGAGCAGCGCGGCGGGCTGCCACTTTGACCCACTCTGGCGATCGGCCGCCTAAGTCGGGTGGGTGGGTCCCAGTCCTGAGCAGTGGCGCGGCGGACGCCACTTTGACCAAATCTGGCGTTCGGCCCCAGAGTCGGGGGGAGGGCCACCAGGGCTGAGCAGCGCGGCGGGCTGCCACTTTGACCCAGGCTGGCGGTCGGCCGCCTGAGTGGGGGTGGGGCCCGACGGGCTGATCTGCGCGGCGGGCTGCCACTTTGACGCACTCTGGCTCTCCTCCTCCTGAGTGGGGTGGGCCGCCAGGGCTGAGGAGCTCGCGCGGGCTGCCACTTTGACCCACTCTGGCAGTCGTCCGCCTGAGTGGGTTGGAAGCCCCCAGGGCTGAGCAGCGCGGCGGGCTGCCAGTTTTCCCACTCTGACCGTCTGCCGCATGATGGGTTGGGCCTCCAGGGCTGAGCAGCACAGCGGGCTGCCACTTTGACCCACTCTGGCGGTCGGCGCGCTTCAGTGGGAGGGAGGGCCCCAGGCTGAGCAGCGCGGCGGGGTGCCTCTTTGACCCACTCTGGCGGTCGGCCGCACGGGTGGGGAAAGGGCCCCCAGGGATGAGCAGCGTGGCCGCTGCCACTTTGACCCACACTGGCGGTCGGCCGCATGGGTGGGGAAAGGGCCCCCAGGGCTGAGCAGCGCGGCGGGCTGCTACTTTGACCCACTCTGGTGGTCCGCCGACTGAGTGGGTGGGGATGGCCCCCAGGGCTGCAGCGCGGCGGACTGCCATTTTTCCCACTCTGGGGGTGGGCCACCTGAGTGCGGGGTGCAGCCCCAGGGCTGAGCAGCGCGGCGGGCTGCCACTTTGACCCAGTCTGGCGGTCGGCCGCATGGGTGGGGAAAGGGCCCCCAGGGCTGAGCAGCGCGGCGGGCTCCCACTTTGACCCACTCTGGTGGTCCGCCGACTGAGTGGGTGGGCATGGCCCCCAGGGCTGAGCAGCGCGGCGGACTGCCACTTTTTCCCACTCTGGGGGTGGGCCACCTGAGTGGGGTGCAGCCCCAGGCTGAGCAGCGCGGCGGGCTGCCCCTTTGACCCAGTCTGGCTGTCGGCCTCCTGAGTGGGGGGGGGCCCGCCATGCTCAGCAGCTCGGAGGGCTGACACTTTGACCCACTCTGGCCATCGGCCTCCTGAGTGGTTGGGGAGGGCCCCAATTCTGAGCAGCGCGACGGCGTCCCACTTTGACCCACTCTGGCCGTCGCCCGCCTGAGTGGTGGGGGGGCTGAGCAGCGCGGCGGGCTCCCTCTTTGACCCTCTCTGGCGGTCGTCCGCCTGAGTGGGGTGGGGCTGCCATGGCT